TGCTGTGATGAGCTCTGAAACCTGACTGAAACTCTTCAAATAAACCATTCCTCTGCAGATGATCTGTTAGCTGTTTGACAACTACTCTTTCAAGGATGTTTGATATGAAAGGAGACTGACTTATAATTGGTGATGGCTAAAAAGTGGCTAAAAGTGATGGCTTTTTAACTACAGCCAGCTTGAAGGCCTGTGGTACATAGCTGATTATTAGAGATAGGTTGATCATATTTAAGATCAAAGCTTTAATTAATGGCAGGACTTCTTTGAGCAGTCTTGTAGGAATGGGGTCTAAAAGAGATTTTGATGGTTTGGAGGAAGTAATTATTGAAGTTAACTCAGAAAGAAAAATCTCTAAATAAATATCAATGGTGCTGAAAGTAGCTGTAGATAATGTTACATCTGTGAGATGATTATGGGTAATTTTTTCTCGAATGATTAAAATTGAGTTTGCGTTTTCCAACAGGGGTGGACAAGGCTAAGCATCAGGCTTTCAAATGAATGAAAACTCTCCTTAGGTCTTTGGTTGATCAACAAGCTAGAGTGGGAGGTTGCTAGCATAACAAAATAAACTAGCAACCTGACTGCTCATCAGTTTGGTAACTCTTGTAGTTCAGCAGCGCAAATGACGGCGCTGGGCTGGGGTCGGCATTTACTCAACGTTAGTGTCATTGTGGGTTATTGGCTAGCTTAGCTTTAGCATGCTGTCTGTGCAGGTGCATGTTGTGTTAGCAACATTGTGCTGTTGTTTCTGTCCTCAAGTAGTCTCTACTTTACCATTGCGCTCGTGTCCCTTTGTGCAAAAAAAATAACAGTAATGTCCGTATCCACACTATAAACTGGGCCACTGATGATTCCAAGGAATTGGACTACCACTTGGACTACTTCTCGATGTCCATCCCTAGTCAGAGGATGTCATGGACAAGATTGTAGATGTGCACAAGCCCATCAGCAAAAAGCTCATTGAGAAGGTGACAACTGTTGGTGCGATTGTTTGGACATAGCAAAAATATAAAATGACCATCAGTCACCTTTGGTATGGAGCTTCCTTCAAGATCTTACCTCATGGAGAGAGGATAATCGTAAGAAAAGTCGTGGGTCGACCCAAAACTGAAAGTAGTTAGGGCCACAGTCACCAAGAACACCATTGGTAGCACAGTGCGCTGTGATTACTTAAAATGTTACTTGCGACGCCTCAAAGGTCCCCCTGTTCAAAGAGGCACATGTGCTAGCCCGTCATAAGTTTGCCAGTGACCTTTCAATTTAATTCAGTTTTATTTATATTAAAATATCACAACATCAGTCACCTCTAGGCAGTTTATATTGTAAGGTAGAGGGTGTACAACAATAATAAACAATAATAAATAATAATAAAGTATGATCCAGAGAATACCATCCCCACAGTCAAGCAGAGGGGCAAGCTGTCTTTACACTGTCACCACGCCCATATAATAAATACTGCATGAAAATTTAGTGTTTTGTAGATTGGGAGACGCTGCCGCTCACAGTAAAAGAATTTGTCGGCTACAACTTTTTCTCTTGGGCAGCATTTATTTTAGAGCTGCCTCTCTGTTTGGCGGGCTCTCTGTGTCTGACCCTGAGACGCAGACGTCAGTGTCTAGATTCTAACTTTAGTCCTACAAGTCTTTGCTATTTCAGAGCATCATTTTCCTCTTTGTGTTTGTGTTTGTAGGGTATCAGTTACTTCATGTCCAAAGGTATACTAGTGGATCACCCCACTGAGCTGGCAAAGTTTATTTTCTACACCAGACGGCTCAACTGGAAGATGCTAAGGATTTATCTGGATGAGAGGTTAATACACACACACACACAACCCGGTTCAGCTATCTTAGTGAGGACCTTCATTGACATAATGGTTTCCCTAGGCCCTTACCCTAAACCTGACCATAACCTAATTGTAACTCTGACACTAAAACCACATTTTGAGCCTCAAAAAGGCTTCAAACCTGTGAGGACTGCTGAGTGTGTCCTCACAAGTGACTGTTGGTTCTCACAAGTATAGTAGAATTCAGATTTCGGTCCTCACAAAGATAGCTAGACAGGAACACACACACACACACACACACACACACACACACACCCCCACCCAACACCACTCTTCACTTGACATTCACAACAGTTTGAGCTGAAAGGTTGACATTTGCAGTTCATAGGATGAATGTTTAGAGACGGTCACATCATAATAGATGGTGCTCAGAGGGAAAATGTTTGCCTATCGTGTCCAAATACATTTGGTCCCAACTGTCCCCAAATATATAAATATGCCTTTACTGCTAACTATTACATGTATTTTCATGTTAGTATAGATATTTTAATGTTTGTCTGGAACAAGTCTCTCTTGTAAATGACAAATTGAATCTCAATGGGATAAATAAAGGTTAAATAAATAAAGATAGTATCTATATGCTTTTCTGTGACTGTATGTTTCTGTGTGAGCAGACGGGATGTCCTGGATGAGTTGGTGAAGCTCCATAACTTCAGTAACCAGTTTCTCCCCAACGCTCTGAGGGATTTCTTCAGACACATCCATGCGCCCGAGGAGAGAGGAGAATATCTGGAAACCCTTATTACCAAGTTCAGCCACAGGTTTTGTACCTGTAACCCTGGGCTTGTTCGAGAGCTAGGCCTCAGTCCTGGTTAGTACTTAGTGTTCCTGCTTTAAGTAGAGGAGTTAACTTAAGTGTCACCAGTGTATCTGGGCCTCGCGATGGCTCTTTGATAGAAGATAGTCTTCTTCCACTTCAGTTGCTTCCTTTGTCACATAGGATCATTACACCGTATCCCTCGCATCCTCCTCTGTCCAACCAAGCCCGTGCATGTCCTCTCCTCTGTGGGCCTCTTTTCTTCATGTCTGACTGCTCCAAATTCAACATCCTTTGTCCAATGTGTCCACTATCCCCTCTCTAAACATCTCCAAACCAT